CCCAGTATGCCCAATGCAGTCTATTACACACACAGAAATAGTCATCATTATTACTGTAATGGTCAAGGGCAGCAGCCTCTTAGGCTCCCAAGGTATGTAACTTCATTAGATATTTCTTTACAATAAGCTTCAGGGGATAAATTGTGATACTACAGATTACTTTGGATTACTAGCATCCTACTCCTATTGGGGGAGCTCTGGTGGTGTAGTGCCTAAGGCATTTGACTGCTAACCAGGAGGCTGGTGGTTTAAACTCACCAGTCACTCCTCGAAAGGAAGGTTGGGCAATCTCCTTCCATAATGATACCCCCTCAGAAACCCACGGAGGGGTTGCCGTGAATCACAGTCGACTCGAGGGCAGTGAGTTTTGTTTGGTTTTGGTTTTATTTCCTATTGGGAGGAGCCTGGGTGATGCGATGGTTAAAAAGCTTAGCTGCTAACCAAAAGGTTGGTGGCTTGAACCCATAAACTGCTCTGTGGGAGAAAGGTGTGGCAGTCTACTTCCATAAAAATTTACAGCCTTGGACACTCTATGGAGCAATTCTGCTCTGTCCTACAGTGTCACTGTGAGTCAGAATCAACTTAATAACAGTGGATTTCTTTCCTGTTGGCAGTGGGCTGAGCACTGTGCTCAAGGCCAAGGGCATAACTAAACCAATTCCAAAGACCCATCTGTGATTGTCTCCTGAGACCACTTTGGTACAAATTCTGTATCAGTCAAGAGCCAGAAACCACCTCCGTGATTTGAACAGAGAAAATTAAATAGGAAAAAGTGTTAATTACTAATTAGCAGTTAACTACTAAAAGAGATACAAGAGCATACTATGAGGTATCCAAAACCAAACCAGTTGCAATCAAGTTGATTTTGACTCATGGTGACCTCATGTGTACAGAGTAGACCTATGCTCCATGTGCTCCATTGAGGCTTCAAGGCTGTGACCTTTCAGAAGCAGATCACCAGTTCCATCTTCTGAGGTGAGGTGCCTCTGGGTGGGTTTTAACTTCCAACCTTTTGGCTGATAATCCAGTGCTTAACTGTCTGTGCTACCCAGGGATTCCTATTAGGGATATAGAAGTTGCAAATGCAGAAAGTATGCCACCCAGAGGGCTAAGGGACAGTGAACAAGGAAGAAACTTAGAGGATGGGCCCGCCCCCTCATCTCCCAGTCTAAGATTCAGATCTCCTTGGAGAGAGTATGACTGCCACAAAAAAAAAAAAAAAAAACCTACTACCATCGAGTTGATTCCAACTCAAGCGAGCCCCATTGGGTTTCCAAGGCAGTGAATCTTTACAGAGTAGATTGCCCCCATCTTCCTTCCATGGAGCGGCCAGTGGGTTTGAACCGCCAGCTTTCTGGTTAGCAGTCAAATGCCTTAGGCACTACACCACCAGAGCTCCTTTATGGCTACTACAGGAACATACAACCTACCAATGGCAAAGAAACTTGCCAGACAGAGATCCTGGGCCATTGCTGCCTATGAAATTCTCTGCTATGGTGGCAGAGAAACTATCCTTCTACCATTGATCCCCTGGCTACCGAACTGAAGAAGAAAGAAAAGGCCCTTCTTTATGCTGTAGCCTGCATTTCATTCTGTAAATGGCTCTGCCTTGTTATTCCCCCCTCAAGTGTTACGCGAAAATCAATAGGGCTTGAATGTTCTTGCTGTCAGGATAAGCCCATTTTTGTGTTTGTCGGTGCAGCATTCACCCTTATTTTTAAAATTAATAATATCAATATCATTATTTCTTCATGCCCTGCTTTGAAACTTAGATCTTCCTAGCTTAAAGTAATAATTGCCTGTTTTTAACTTTTGGTTTTTTGAAAGCCTTTTTTATAAAGCTGACCTCATTTCTCAAGTTTTGAATTTGTTGGATAGAAACTACAAAGGTAACACCACCAACCTCCAAGAAAATCTTTCACATATATCATTGCCTTTTGATGCTACTTAAAATTTCATTATATTTTTCATCAGTTTAATTTACTTTATGGTATAAACCTTAAGACTTGTTTTTGTTACATTCACAAGAGGAAATGGTTTGTATCAATTCTTGCTTAGAATTCCAAACCATTCATTTGAAAAGAAAATGTTTTTAGTTGCATCTTTTGACACCTTTTTAGTGTTAATTTGAGATCATAATAAATACAGGCATCTGTTTTGACATTAAAGGTTCTTTAAGCACATACTTTTTTTTTTTAAATATAAGAAAATTGCCTGACAGATGCTTTCTTTCTCTTTTAGGTGGAAGGTGTTGCTGTTTCTCTCCCGACGGTAAAGCTTTAGCCGTGGGTCTCAATGACGGAAGTTTCTTTATGGCAAATGCAGATACTCTAGAGGATCTTGTATCTTTTCATCACAGAAAAGATATTATTTCAGATATTCGATTTTCACCTGGTAAGATTGTATTTAAATCTTATTTGATTATGTACTTGAGTCTAACAATCTGTAAATTTCTCACTGTGTGATTTGTATTAGCTATTACTTTATGTTAGAATTTTCCTTTTTTGGACTAGAGAAGATAATGTGGTGAGGGGTAAAAGCCCTGGATTAGATGAATGGCTTAGATTACCTGGTTTAGTTCCAATTCTGTCACTAAATTTTTGATGTGATTCAGGTCAAGGCCCTTTTCTGAGCTTTAGTGTCCAAATTCAAATTGTACTAATATTACATTTCATATACTTTTTTTTTAAATTGTGATTTGGGTGAAAGTCTACAGAGCAAATTCACTTTCCATACAGCAATTTGCATACACTTTGTCTCATGACATTGATCACAATTTACCACAATGCAATAGCTCCCCTCCCACTTCCTCCCCATAGTTACCTATTCCCTGTGTCCTTCTCTCCATGCACCCCTGCCCCCTGAGCTGTCTCCCTGTGCATACACAGCCCTTCTGTTCTCCCATGATTGTTCTCTGCAAGGAGTGTATCTACCTAATGTAAATGTTCAGCTCATATGCCTGTCTTTTGTCTTTTGTTTGGCTGGAAGCCACAGGAATGGGTTCAATTCCAGACTGGAAGGGCAGCTAGGGACCATAGCCTCAGTGTTCCATCAGGCTCTATCAGACCAGCAAACCTGGTCCCCTTTTTTAAAAAATGATTTTGAGTTTGGTCCCACATTGTTCTCCCACTCTATCCAGGATCTCCTACATAGATCCCCCTCCGAGTGGTTGACAGTAGGAGCCAAGCATCATCTAGTTCTTCTGGTCTCATGGTCATATAAGCTGAGGATCACATGGTATACCAGTCACTTGGACTAATTGTTTCCATGTGTCTTTGGTTTTCTTCATTCTTGGTTCTGGATGAGAAAAGACCCATCGTTGCATCTAGATGGCTGCTTGCAAGCTTTTAAGATCCCAGTCACTACTTGACAAAGTAGTATGTGGAACAATGTTTTGTGTAGTATGTTATACCAATTGAGCTTGATGTCCCCTGCGACTATGGTACCAAGCCCACAGGGCCAACTACTCACTCCCTCTGGGTAGCTGGCTGTGGCCAAAAAGTGACTACAACCTTGTCCCTTGTCAGATGTACTATATACCTGGGAATTCTTACAGAACATACCAATACACTTGTAGAAACATTGTCTGCCAACCCTATACATGGTCTTGGTCACACTCCCCCCTGCATAGACATACCTAATAGTTAATCCTCTCCACTCATCTTTCCACCCCTATAACCATGTTTGCCTTCACTGACAACACAGTACTGTATGGGCAAAAAGGTTCATCTTGGTTGTCTGTACCTCCAATGTGTCTCTCTATGTCATCCTCTTCCTCAGTGCCACCATGTTGATCACTCACATTTGGTACATTGCCCTTCTCTTCACCCAAATCAATACTTGTCGCTACCTATCTAACAGTGTTCTTTCCCCTCCCCTACCCCTGGTAACCAACAAAGAAAATTTCCTTCCATATACATTTCATATATTTTTTGACATTTGCTCTCTACTGATTTATTTACTACAATAAACAAAATAATTTTGTTGATTACAATATATTTGGAAAATATGTTAACATAAGATTGTTTATGTAAAAAATTCTGCATACACTGCCATCCACTTGGAAGGGATGTAGGAGATCCTGCATAAAGAGGGA